CTCTCTCTCTCTCTCTCTCTCTCTCTCTCTCTCTCTCTCTCTCCTCTGCTATCTATCTATCTATCTATCTATCTTCCTTCTCCTCCCGTTTCCCTCACTCGCTCTCTCGGACCTGTCCGCCCCCTTCCCACTCTTCATACTCCCCTCGCCTTTCCGTCTGCCCTCCTTCCTGCCTGATCGTCTCTACTTGCCGCTAGGCAAGGAAGCAATCGCGAAAGAAAGTATTCCGTTCTACGCCGTCATCGACCAAACGAAGTACGTCCCTGGGCGGCAGAAAAGCCGACTCGACCAAGTCTGCCAGCACCGAAGGCGACAACAGTCGCAACAAGCACGGCAGGAAATTGCAACCACGGGAGTGGGAAGACGGGCAGGAGGCGGCAGAAGAGGCAGAAGCGGAGGGGTACGGGGAGGAAGTCGAGGCCGTCGATGAAAATGAAATCTCGGTGCACATGCGGATGCTTTCGAAGCCCAGCGGTGAACACTGGTGAGGAGAAAGAGAGGTAACCTTGGTGTTGCACCATGTTGGATGTCCCCGCCCCGACCGCCCAGAAAACGAAAGTCCAAAAAATCCAGCCGGTTTCTTCCCCATCCACTGTAAAGACTCCAGCATATCCATTTCATTGGGGTATTGATCTCGAACCGGTGATTTTCCGGTGACTGTATGTAATTTTTTAAAGCAAGTCGAGACGAAAGCGTGGTCATGACCCCGCGTCGTCCGATCGGACCATGACCAGTGACACACGACTTCTCATTTCTATATTTTCTGGTGGACATTCCGCACAAACTTTGTCCCTGCGCGCGAGCATACCTGTGCGTGGGCCGACCAAGCTCAGCCAAATATTCCACGCGGCTGGCGACAAGTACCACTCTCGGCTTGTGTCTGGCACGTGGATGTCCCGGTGCCAGGTTGACGAGAGCCGTAAGCGATTTCAACGAAACAAGAGCGTCGGACATTTTCGTCGTGAACTTCGGGGGGCACTACCACGACTTCCCCGAGGAGGACGATAGCTTCAAGAGGGACGTGTTCCCCATCCTGGACGAAATGGCGGTTCTGGGCGAAAAGGCCACCGTCGTTTGGAGGTAACGGGGGCGTCTGTTTGACCGAAACATACGTGAACCGGCGGTGTGTCTCGGGAGATTCAGCCCATGCCTCGTGTTTTGTTGTCTTTCACAGAGTAGTTTCGCCAGCGTTTCAGGGAGAGGGAGGGGGGATAGGGAGCGCCAGTAAGGCGAAGCGCCACAAGGACAAGAAAAAAGAGACGCCTCCAAAGAGGAAGGTCGGATGCCGAGACTGAAATTTGCGCCCCTCGTTTTCCCCTTTTTGCTCAAGGCCGGTGCTTCTTGATTCGATATTCGCGAACGAATAGCTTAGCCTCACGAAGATCTCTGTTCTCCCTTTGCGCAGAGAGATTGCGCCGACCCATTTCCCCGCCGTGAATGGGTCTTTCGACGCTTTTGACTGTCTCGAGTCGAAGGATCGAAAAGCGAGCTGCACTGGGACTCCGCCCGAGGTTTTCGACCGAAATGTGGTGAGTTTGTTATGATGCTCTTGCTGTTTGTTGTTTTTCGCGTCCCACCGCTTAAGGGAACACGACAAAAATCCATTGGACAACTTCTGACCCTAGCCCAGCCCACCTCTTCCTCTTTTCAGCGTTTCATAGCGGCGTAGCCAAGGCGACACCACTGGTCAACGTATAGTATGTGTCTACCCCCACCGCTCTTCTGAAGGGAAAGGAAGTTGTCGCTATTTTTGTTCACCGACCACTCGACAAAGAACAGCACCCGGGGGACCTGTTCTGACTCGTTCGGACTACTGAACCGGTCCCGAGACATGATCGCACTAAATCCTCCTGTCTGTGTGACCTCGGTTCGTTCCACTCTACGTGGTGAAGCAGGGTAGCTGTTGCAATGACAGCGGACGCGGCAACTGCCAGTCTACCGCTATTTCGGGCAGCGCCATGAACGCAGCAGAATGACACCGAGTCCACGTTGTTCCGCCGTTCGTTCTTGGGAACGTTTTCTGCCTTGCATAGTGGGTGGAGAACTACTTGCGGACCAACGGGCTTGAGGATAGGATCCACCTGCTGCGAATTTACGACATGTCCGTGCCACGGGGAGCGGCCCATCACACTTGCCATTTTGCACCGGTGAGTGAGCGATATGTCGGCGCATACGACATCCAACCAAACGCTATAACAACAGCATGAGGCCACACACCAAACTAGCAGACCCCGGTCACAAGAGAGGGAACGCAAGACGATCGTCACACCACCTTTAATTGTCTTGGGATGATGTCGCCAAGCATAGTCTACTGCTAAGCCGTACCAAGAGGAACTAGATTGATCAATGCTCTCGTAACACAAATGCACGGGATCTGCGGTATTTGCACTGAGACAAACCTACATGTAGCATTTCTCTTCGTATTTCAAGGAGGAGGTCGAGGATCTTAGACGACACTGATAGAAAAGTTTCAACTGGACATGGCGTGTTCAGCGGCTGTTGAAGACGTTAGCATATCCGTAGGCCGACACGCATTTCAAGCGTTTCGGTCCACGCGGTTGAACCAAGGAAGCGCAACCAACACCCGATGGTGTTCCGAGCGTGCTGTTTCCCGACACCACCCGCACGCTTATAACAAACAGAAAAACACGCTGAAAGCGCGGCATTGACGGACAGCACAAGCTTCTGCCGCCTCTCGCGCTCGGGTTTTTTTAACGTTCGTCTTCTCTGGCTGCGTGTTCGTCTTCGCGTTTCGCTGGCAGCCGTCCCCAATGAACCAGTCCGAAGCGGCGAGTGACGGCGGAGGAGCTTCCGGTCCTTTGGACTGCAGGCACTGGTCCGAAACCGGCGTCGTGGAGGAGTGGAACACCCTCATGCTCAACCACCTCTGCCCGATGGAGTGACGTCGTCACTCTTCGCGTCCGTTGACCCGATCTCCGTGAGAGGTTGGTTTCCTTGCGTGGGCAACCCTAGTGGGCAACACAGAACGCCAGCCAGGGGCATAGAGGAGGAGCGGGAATACGCGCTCTTGCTCGAATCACCGTGCCTCCCCTGGGTCGGTCGTTCTGCCGTACGTACAAGAGTCGCGGGTTGTTGGTGGGGTGCTGCATGATATTCGCTTTACGTTGCCCCCGAAAAAATCCAATATGTACACGTTTGCCAGGGCCGCATGCGCGAGGTGAAGATATGCTGACACCTCTCTATTGCACATTATACACACGGATCGATTTCGAGAAAGTACTGGAAGAATTGGTAACTAGAGTTCAATACTCTGCTTTGGGCAACCTTAAATATTTGTAGGCTGTTGGTCATTTTTGCCCCCCGCAGAGGTACTGTTTATTTGTAGTCTGTTCCTGAAGGATGTTTGATCGAGTTTCATGCCGTCAGTGTGAACGACGGTGGGTTAATTCCTGCCGTTGTAGCCAGAGGTTGTGACCTTGGATATATACTTGAAATCTTGATTTTGGCGGATGGACAGCATTCGTTGTTTTGAGCGATGCACGGTTCCGATACCCGAATTATTCAGCTCCTACCGCATTTATATTGTACTTGTTGGCTTGGCGGTTGATCGGCGTCGCTTGCTCAGGTAGGTCGATCAACTAGGTGCGTCACTCCTTTTGCTACTCGACGTCTTTCTCCAAACAACGACCTGCGTTTGCTCGTTCTGTTGTTGGTCGCTCCAATCGGGCAATCTTCTCGTCTCCGTTGTGTGTGTTCATTGGGGTGGCTACTGTATCCTCGAGATAGGTTGCGAAAGCTATTCCCTGTCACATCATAACATCGGCTGTGCCTCTGCTTGCTTGGACAGTGAGAGACAGTGTGGTTATTGCCATGTTGTCGTTGAAAAGGCCCGCTTGTCTGTCGTGTGACTTGGTTGTCCAGTCGTGTTCGGTATGGCATTGAAAATCGATCGGGGGCATGATACACGCGAAGATTTTGATGAGAAACCAGGCAAATTACTGCTGCTCCTGGCTTTACCTGGCTTGACTCGGTGATCTTAGCTATTTGTGTGTACATGCGTGTTTATCTGAAGATAGAGGGAGGGGTTATCACGTCAACACTCCTGCTAATATAATAGCTTATTATCTCGACACATGCAGGTTTTTTATTCAAGAAGTGGCACGATGTTGCCGCAAAATAAAGTTGACCGTCTAGACTAGTCTAGACGAGTCGAGAAAGCAGAAGTACGTCGATGCCGCTGTGCTGCTGTGCGGCTTGACAGCATCGCTTTCGAGAGCCCTTTGTTTCCTCCCCCGGAACCAGGGCACACTCTCAACAACACAGATAGTCACACAACAGAAATCGAATCTCAAAACCGATGCTTGATATGCCGTGGTTCGACGATGAGATCACGACTGCGAAAATGCAGAACGTGTGTTTCCGGGGTTGTATTTTCGCTGTTCAGGGTGAGGCGCAACCGTGCATGGTTTTGCCTGAGAGACGTGGTGCCTGTGTATGACGTCATGCTCAACCTCGCCAGCCGATCGAGGCTTGCCATAAGTGTTGCTGAATCTACGCAAACACCGTCAGTCCGGCTTTCTGTGTTGTTATCTCCTTTTCGAAAAAAAGGGACGTTCCCGGTTTAGAGGAAGGTGAGGAAATAATTCCTTGGGCGTTCTCGTCATAAATGAAGCATCCAGGGACTAATGCGGGCCGGGGGCGTGGATGATTGTTTGGTGCATACATGCAAGTTAGAACTAACTTGTAGACAGTCCGGGGAAAAAATCGTTTCGTCGAAATGGGAAAAGGAAACAAGGAGCGTTGAAGTAGTGAGAGAACAATTGTGCTCGCGGTGCCGTTGTATCATGCTGCACGATGAGAGGCAGGCAGATGTGCAATCAGGTTCTCGTGAGCGTGCGAGTGCGTAAGTGTATGTTTTGTATATTAAGGGCGCCAAAGTGCGGCTACCGTTGCCTTGGTGGAGTTTGCGTCGTGGCCGCCAGGCCAGCGTTGTCAGTGGCATCGCACAGTTATACGCGATGTACTCAAACCGTTCGCAACCATAACGGCTGCCGTGCTCATGAGCGACCTGTTCGACTTGAAGTGACCACTCATCACTGAAGACACAGGGTATTCAAGCAACTCTTGTCGTTCCGATGCCGCAGTTTCATGCACAACAAGCACGCCAGAAATTCTTCCCCCTACAACAGCACGGGTGATGTGCCTCAATTGTACAGCGTCCGGAAAATTGTACACTTTTCGTTTCACAACTTTGCTCGAAGAGAGCAGGTGCCCCCTTCGTCTTTTCGATGTGTCTCTCCCCCTCCCATCAAAACTTCGGCTCCAGACTCCGCAAACAAAGCCCTTAAAGCCACGTGCGGTAATCGTCTGGAAGATGGTGGGCGCGATGGCGGTGGCAGCGACATGGTGTTCTCGACTACGTCCCAAGTGCCATCCAACCGGGCTCCGTTCCACCCGACGTGCCTCGGAACACCAATATCGCTGCCTCCTGCGCTCTTCACGCCCTCCCAGTCGGCAGACAGACTGTCGGGCGCGATCGTGAGAACCGATCCCAAGAACGGTCGTCGGTTCTCCAGCCAGGGGTGGAGGGAGCAGTTTACCGTCCAAGGCAAACGTCCTGAACATGGGCATTGATTTTTTGGGGTTGGCAGGGTTAGGAGTGGGTTGGGAAGACGATAACTATTCCTGTAGACACGCCTCGTCTATGTCCAACTAGCCTTTTCAACTGCCAAAGGCAGAGCCTCTTGAAAGGTGTTAGGTTAACAGGCGATCGCTTGGAGAAGTTGCCCTTGAGGAAACGATACACCTCGATAGACTCTGATTGGGGAACCAGGGTTGAGTTCGGCAGGAAACTTGGAGATGCTCACAGACGCCCAAGCAACAAAGCTTCCCGGAACAAAAAGCGAAAAGCGCTTACCTTTTTGTGCACTGATCCTTCCATGCGAAGCCTCCAGCGACAGAAGCTCGAGTGCCATCCGCCGATCCCCTCGTGCGATCGCGTCGTCCACCCGACCGACCAACCCGCCCTTACCGCCACCGCTGCTGCCCCCTGCCTCCATCAAACCGGGATCCCGGTCCACAATTAGGCCGAAGTGATCCCCGCACACCACGAGGAGAGCGTCGGGAGCGCTGACAAAAAGTGATGGGGGTTCGAGGAGTCATTAGGTGCTGGGCGTATGTCATTACATGGGGTCCCTCAATAAGCTGTCAGCATGCTTGCCAAAAAATCGCGCCTTTCCATTCTGCTCGTATTCGAGCATTCCATCATGCCAGAGTGTTCTGGCAGGAGGAGGAAGAAACAACCAGCTCAAGAAGAAGGAAAGAGACGCCCCCTTCGACCCACCTTTGCCTGTAGCGGCACCTACACCAGGCTAAGTCCCCGACAAGTCGCCAGTCAGCCGCACAGCACGGAAAATCCACACCCAATCCTTGCTGGCATTCATTCTTGAACATCGATCGTCGGCACCCAAACGATGAGTGACAGACGAAGACGTATTTTCAGGTTTGAACGTTTGGGAAGTCTTTCACCTATATGTACGTACTACCCTTTGACACATGTACAATCTTCAAAAGCGTGAGCACGCCTTTTTCCCTCCGGTTTCGAGACGTCCGAGCGGCCAGGAGCAAGCGGGATAGCTTGGTGAAACACGAATCTTGCCGCTTCAAGGTGGGCACGGTGGTGCTCATACATAAACAGCACATATAACTCGTTTCATCCCCGTTGTTGCTGTCTCTACATTCTTGTCTTGTGTCACCTCGAAGGGCGTCTTCGAAGTGCGAGGTACGGCCCTCGACCCCCCGGGAGTCTCTCCCACCTCTCCATGTACACGTGCTGATCAAACGCGTCCTAGAAGGGAACAACGACAGAACAAGAGGCCGAGCACATGGAGAGATGTCTCGCCGGTATCTGTTTACGGTCCTCTCAAGTTAATCGCTTGGTTTGTCTCGCGCTTCGTGCCCACAACAAGGATCAACACGTTGACTCTAGCACGCAAACCAATATTTCTATAGTACCTGTCCGGATCTGAAACAAAGAGGAAAGGATTAGACATGACGAGGGGATGCTGTCATCACAACGCCGTCAATGCGGCGGGGAGGAGGGCTTGATGCTTGTGTATAAGCCTCGAATGGCAAATTTCTAAAACTAAAAACTGCGAATGAAGAGGGGAAAGTAGTGGAAAACATTGTGCACTAGCGGAGTGAAGGGGGGCTCATTGTACACGCACGAACAGCATCATCAAGAGCAACCACCGCCGCAACCACAAGAGCAAGACGGCCACCTTAGCGAACCCCCATTCCTTCCAAACATCCCCTCCGGGCCCCATCTCCACCCTCCACTTGTTGGGCCTCGGCCGCGCTTCTCCAACATAGTTCCAGTCGATGCAGTGATGCCGAGTTGCCACCGACCCTTCCAGGCGTCCATGCTGTTTGGCTCCCTGCTCTTCCCCGCCGCCACTGCGAACGCTGGCCGCATCAACCGAAGGGGATGCCACAGGCTCCACCCGGGTGTAGCCAGCGAAGGCGTGTCTTCGGGCAAACAGCCGCAGCTCGAAGCCCTGGGTAGGGTTCAGAGGACCAACACACACACCACAAGACGATGGAGGCGTATCTATTGAGCGGGATCTGCGGTCTGTTTCTGCCGTGTTTTGACAAATTCGCCTGTCGTTGCATTGGACGCAAACATCCTGCTTTTGGTTGGCTGTGACCGGTCAGTTTGGACACTCATGGCGGTTCATGCCGAGACACGAAGCGTTATGGTCTGTAGGATACGTGCAGAAGCAAGCGGGGGATATAATTTCTGTTGTATACCCGCACCCGACACTTCCGTGAGATCAGGATGCCCATTGGAACAATACCCGGACTGCGGAAACAACAACGGAGACAACATATCGGGGGGAACATACCCGGAAAAAAAGGGTTCAACACATGGGATGAAAACCCT